GAAGTGAATTCCATCTCTGTGACCCTCCTGAGCCGAGGCTACAAAGGCCAAGCTCTGCACAGGCCGTACAACAGAGTTTGGCCCAACCAACCTTCAACTCATTCTCCTGGTTCCAAAGCAGCAAACAGGCAGGAGCCAGCCTACCAATACACTTCCTGGAATGTTCCCAAGAAGACTCCATCCAGGTAACACCAAGAGCAGACTCTTAAGAGAGAGGGAACGCTCTGGGCTACTGCTGGCAATGCCCAGTTCCCAGAGGACAGGAAGGTGCAGTATCAGCACCATTTCCATGCTACAGCTCCAGGCATTTTTCTCTTAATTTCTTTTTCTGATAACGACACACATCCACATGATCCAGAAGAGTAAATCACAAGCAGGTTTCTTGGTTACTAGGAGACCTGAACGACTCAGAGAAAAAAAACCCTCGGTTGTGTGAGCCCTTTCAACTGTCCACCAGGACCACCATTCCAGAGTACATCAGTGACACCAAGACTAAATGGAAAAGCACACAACTCCTCACAAGTTTTCACCACACGCTCTATCACAAGGGGTCACAGGGAGACGGAATACAAACTGTGCAAGAGGGGGGTGGCCGGTGCGATAAAATCCACCTGGATAATAAAGACGCGGCCGGGAGGGACGCGAGCCGAAGGTGGCTCAGTGAGATTCAGCAGGCAAAGCAACAGATGACAGAAGGGCTTGGAAAGCATCCTTCCACTAATGTAGAGCACACCCTGACAAGTGTGGGTGCATGCTTGCATGTGTAACCTGACTGGAGAGCTCTGGCTGGGCTGCTCTGTGTGGCTACCAGAGGAGGGTGGAATTCTGGGAAACTGCAGTTCTTCTCTTCCCCTCTTTCATATTATTCTTTGCAATGATTGTGGATTCTTCTCCCCACCTAATAAGCAGGAAAGCTGTGGATTTAGAAGTTCCAGAAGAGAGATGGCTTTCCACACTGTGTGATGCATCTTCCTAGAAAATCATACTTCAGGTGAAGAGTTGGATTTTGAATAGGTTATTTTGCTGGTAAACATTATAATTACTAATTATGAATTAAATCAATATTGGAGCTAACCCACAGCAGATAATAATGTTAGTGATAATTTATAAATTCTTTCAGGTGTTGGGGATCAAATCCACAGCCTTGAGCATGCTATAATAATGCTCTGCCATTGAGCCATCCCTCAGCCAGGGAAGAGAATAATCAAAACGTAATCATTGGTGGCACACCCTGGTCATCCTAGCACTCAGGAGGCTGGGGCAAGAGACTCACAAGCTAAAGGCCAGCCTGTGTCTCATGGTGAAATAAAAGAGCAAGAAGTGGGAGGTCGTTTAGTGGCTTATCTGGCAAGCTCAAGGCCCAAGTTCCATCTCTAGTACAAAAACAAAATAAACCAACAACAACAAAAACAAACAATAAACTTTTAACTTTCTGAACACCTTTTCATGCAATGTTTTCTAAGCCTTTTTCACACTTTTTCCCCCGGTATTACTAAGACCAGACCCAGTGCCCCTACCACAGCCCGATGTGTTCCCCTGAGTGGAGGAGGACCAGAGCTATTCAGATTCTATTACACAAGAAAGGTGCCATGGGTCGCCTCCCAGGTTTCTGGAGTCTCCTAGAATAATAGACATCCGCCTTGAGCAGCGATTAGCGTCTTCACCTAGAGCCTGCTTTATCCGGCTGGCCTGCATAACCCGTTTTACTTCCTTATTTATAAAATTTTCATCACCTCAAAGACAAACAAAAAAAGTAAAGTGCTTCAAGTGTGCTGTGCTGCCTTTGTTTTGGTTTGATTTTACTGGTGCTTTTGTTTTGGTTCAGTCTTTACTGTTTTAAAACAAACTGGAATCTCTTTTCAGAAAAGGCACACACACGCTCACACACAGACACCACAGAAGAAATGCCTGAAAGACACATAAGTGCAGTCCCCAGGGGGCCTTCAAGATATGGCTTTCCTACCTATTTACCCAGGATGCCTGAACCACCAACCAAACTACTACACCAAGTAATAGGATTTCCACTTTACATCCATTAAGGGCACATGTGGTTGCAGCACGAGCTAGAATTCCATCCCAAGCTAGTGGTATGGCTGCACCAAAGGAAAAGTCCTTTGCCCTCCAGTTTCTCAGAATCAAAGTGGGCATCTTAAATGTCTCAGGGGACAGGGGTCACAGACTCTGAATTCTTAGTCTATAAGCAGACACAAAAAGTAAAATGTGACAACAAAATTTCATTTTAAGCCCTCCCCCCCCCCCAAGCCAAAGTGAGTCAGAAGCTAACAGACTCTGAGCAAAAGGATGCTCTCAGAGAATCTGTGGGGAGGAGAGTCAACTTGCCTCCACATTGTCCAGGAGATATCAGTGTAACAAACACCCACTGGCCAGCAGAGAAAGGTAACGGGATTATTAAGCAATGCTTTCTTCCCTCCTTCCACAGCTCCGCTGAAACCTGGCCCAACCACGGGAGGGGGAAATGCAAACTGGTCCTTGGCCTTAGACACCTGTGTTCATTTCAAATAATGATCTCTCAAATGTCTATATCACTAACCTGGCTAATAACAGGGTCTGATGACAAGGCTCGATTTCATAAATGTAAACTCTAGGGGTCAGGACTAGAAGAAAAAGGGAGGTTCGTAAGACTTAAGTACTAAGGCTCATCATCTTGTTGGCAGGCACCAGACAGGAACCAAAGCCCTGCTGCTGTTTAGACTGCCTCCTGCTGCGTTTCTAGCCGTCCTCTGAACCTCAGAACATTAATTTGAGAACAGAGTTCACACTGCACAAGTAACCTTCAAACTGTGTTCTTGACTAGAAAGATTTTTCCAATATTTCAAGATTATCTTTTGGCCTTGCACTTTACCTGAACTCTCAAGCACTCAGCGACACACATCCCTGCAAAAAGGAAACCACAGCTGGAGTCTGCCAGGACCGCAGTTACAAACGGAACACTCATCTTCTGTTCAGCAAACATTTTTTTTTTCTAGTTTTGGTTTCTGGAGGCAGATTCTCCCTGCTGCCCAGGCTGGCCTCTCTAACTCTCAGGAATCCCCCTGCCTCCCACTCCTGGAGGTGCCAAGATTTGCAGGCGTGCGCACCCCACTAGTGAACGCTTTCATTCTCACGTCAGTGGCAAGAAGGCGCTGCTGGTCTCCCATTTACACAGGCGGAATCTGCACAGAGCAGGCCCCTGTGTCAGAGCGCGTGCTTCCTCAACAGAAATGAGGGATTCTTAAAGGATAAGGAAGCCTCGGGAGAGCACAGCCTTGTGCACCAGTGAACCCAGAGCTGGTGCAGACAGGGCTCCTGGTGACAGAAACATCCTCGTTCGAGTAAGAAGGATGCTCCTCCAATTTTTTTCACTTGTAAATTAGCAAGAAGGGACTATTCTTCAGTTCCTGTACTTCATGAAATTTCTGGAACCTTGAAATGTAGAAGGAAGCGGGGGGGGGGGAAGCGGGGGGCAAAGGAAAGGAAAGGAAAGTGGGGCAGATGGCTAGACGCTTCAGGCCTTGAAAAGTATTTCTGTTTTACACCAAAGCATGAAAACAATCACGTAGAGCTAACAAAATGACTGAAACTGGAGGAATCTAGAAAGAAGAAAAACTGTGGCGGCATGTCCCGAGAGCTGAGCTGAGGACCTTTGAGCTGTGTGCAAGTCCTCACCCAACTGGGCACATGCAGCCAATTCCACATGAAGAGCCACTCACGTGGGCGGCTTATTACACAGAACTGTTAGCTGGAGAAGCTTTGATGCAAAGCTGCTCTGGGAGCAACAGAAGGAAGGCAGGCTGAGTCCACACCTCACACCATCCCCAACTAAACCAGAACCCTATTTTATCGTCAACAGTCAGGAATTTTATCAAGAAGCATCCAACCCCAAACTTCCAAGTTTTTCTCTGTGTTTAACATTTTTTACAAAACAAAAATCTCTGGTATAAATTATAATCTAGCTAAGACTAAACCTCAACTTTTGCCCTGCCCTCCAAAACAACGACAAAATACAAAAACAAACCATGAAAATCACCCCTCATAGATAAGTCTTCTTATTTATTGGGAAGAACTGAGATGTAAAAGTTGCTGTGGGTCAAAACACTCTCAAAGGAACAAAGTGCATCCAGAGGGAGTGAAGACAGCACCTACGAAATGCCACTTGGGCTATGCAGCCGAAACTACAGCATTGACAGCAGTGCTGCCGACGGAAACGCCTTCCTTTAAACACCTGCGAAGTAGCTGAAGGATGAAGTCCCAGTCTCTGGACTGCGCTGCCTAATGCCCTCCTCCTACTAGCTCAAGGCACACAGTAGGGAGTCACCATCAGCGGCTGGGGCTCTCGGACAAGTCACTACCACATTAAGGCTGACACTATTCAGTCTCCGCTTAGTGGGCACTAGTAAGCTTCCGGGTCTGGACTTCAGGGCGGCCCCTCCTGGACTTCCAACCTAGTGAGGCAACCCTGCGCGGCAATCAGCTCTTCAGACCAGTGGTCTCCAGGCGGCTGACCTGAGAAGTCAGAAAACCCGGCGTTTTCTGGTCTCCGTGGAGAGGGCCTTACATGCCAAGAGAAGCCAAAAGAAGAAGAAGAAAAAAAAAAGGCTCTCTTAAAATCCTTACGCAGCCGTGCCCTCCCCCGCCAAGTGCGCAGGTAGCTTCTACTCGGGCCACTCCCGAGCACCTTGTACGGATCCAGCTCTGTCCCCCAAGCCCTGCGCCCACGGCAGCCTGCAAAAACAGCTCACACTGCAATGATGCTCCCTGCCCTCCCGGAGGCATGCCCAGGTGTGCAAACCCAAGGCGCGCAGGAGCACAGACACAGGTGTGCACACGCAGGCGAGCATGCTCAGAAGCGAACACAAGCGTGCAGACGCGGAGGTCCCTCCCAAAGGTACGCAAACAACTGCTCGCACACAGATAACGCTCCCGACATCGGTCACGCCCGCGAGACCCACGGCCGGGGCCACCCTCCCCGCGCCCCACCGGAGCGTGCGTGCCCGGCTCACCTCTTCCAGAAACTTGGTCAGGTCGTACACCTTGTGATGCAGGATCACCCAGGTGCTCTTGCTGTCTTTGTGCTTCTGAATCTCTTCCAGGGTGTAGTACTTCACATCCTTGTCTGCCTGCCCGGCCATCTCGGAACAGTGAGCCTCCCGGGCCCCGCTACGCAGCCGTGTAGGGTGGTGCGCTGTTCACGTCTGAGCGGCCTCCGCCCGGGACATCCCCGGCCCCAGCCGGCCGCGTGCCCAGGACCGGGGGGTGGCGCCTCGAGCTGGGCGAGGCCCGCATGGCCTCCGGGGATTGGCCAGTGCGGTGCTCCCGCCCGCAGCCGACGCCCTCCAGCAGGCCAATCACGCGCCCCCGTGCAGAGCTCGGCTGTTGATTGGCTACCAGAGGTGCCCGTCACCATCACCCGCTGCCGGCGCGGAGGGTGCGGCCTTCCCGAGTCTGCGCAGGAGGCGGCGGGTGGGGTCACGGGGAGGCGGGGAGGCGAGGTCTGAGGTCTGAGCGCGCAGCCCGCACGGAGCCGAGAGGCCGCGGCGAACTCCTCCCGGCCCCGGGTCCGTCCCTTGGCGCCCAGCTTCGCTTTAACTCTCCGTGTTTCCTAACCAGGGCGGCCTTGCATCCTGATGATCATCTGGAACAAAAGAGATCCAGATCCACAGAGGGACCGTCTGTGCGGGGGGAACCCTTAAACATAGAAGACGCGAAGGAGCCGCTCACGCTGGCATCACAGCCCTTGAGCCGAAAGTGTGGGCGCGTGCACTTCGCTTCACCGTGTCTGCGGGGGTTGGGAGCGGCTCCTCTAACCCGCAGGCAGAAACTCCTAGGAAAATGCCTCCTAGAAATTACTCGCACCTAGTACTTTCTGGCACCCGAAGTAACTTCTGTGCCACCAGACCCTGACGCCGTAGACTTTTTCTTACCCTCTTTCTTATCCTCCCCGGTCCTAAGTAAGGACCAGCGCGCGCGGGGTCAGCTCCGCCGTCACTCCCTGCCCTTTTACAGGAAGTAAACTCCACAGACGTCTAAGAGAGACCTCTAAGAGGTCGGGAGGCAGAAGACTGAATGTATTTGCCTATTTAAAAAGCCCTTCGTAGTTTATTTGGGTCTTTTCAGCAATGGTAATTAACTTCAAAAAACCTAAGTGATCGGCACACCAGCGTTTCCCCAAGGAAATCAGTAAGTTCCTGAACATAGTGGCTGCTTGGAGCTAAGTTCCTTCCCCCTTAGCTTCTCCAGGAAGACCTGCACATTGGGAAGCCAACATTGCCTAAAGCACTCCAAACTGTTTTCACTGTTTCTTTTTAACCACAAGAAAGTATTTCCAGTTGTTACAACTATTTCTCAGGTGCATTATTTATATTAGGATGCTGATCAGTTTAGTTCACATACAACATACAACGTATCAATATTTTATTTTACATCAACTAAAATATAATGTAGGAAATTTTTCCAAATGAGTTGTTTGTTTGGACTTTGTTTTGGGTTTCTTTGTGTTTGTTGTTTTTGGTTTTGGTTTTGGTTTTTTGGAGACAGGATTTCTCTGTGTAGCCCTGGCTATCCTAGAATTCATTCTGTAGCCAGGCTGGCCTTGAAATTTCGTGCCTCTCCAAGTGCTGGGATTAAAGGGCTACCACCACCACCTGGCCTGGGTCTTTTTTTTTTTTTTTTTTTTTTACCTTAATTTTAAAGCATATCTTCATGGGAAGTTACAAATTGCACAAATAGGTCCCCTGTGTCCCTCACCCAGCTCCTGGAATGGCTACACATAACTCTGCAATACAAAAACAAGGAAGCTGCAAAACAGCTGGCAAAGGCAGCACAGCAAAATTGAAGCCAGTGGTCTACACGGCAAGGTCCATGGCTACCTTAGTGACTGCCCTGTCACAAGCTCTAGCTGGTGGTAGAGCTTGTGACAGGGAATTACACTCACAGCCCATGCTGTCCCTCCCTCTCTTCCCCCCTCCCCCCCCCCCCGTAATGAGGAACCTGTTTCATTCCTGTTATTTTGTCATCACAAGGTCTCATGTAAATGGGATCACACAATAACATATTTGAGATGCCATGTGTTCAGGAATTACACTCACAGCCCATGCCATCCCTCCCTCTCCTCCCTGTAATGAGGAACCTGTTTCATTCCTGTTATTTTGTCATCACAAGGTCTCATGTAAATGGGATCACACAATAACATATTTGAGATCGGCTTTTTCACTAATTGCTGTTGATATCCATCCAAGATGCAAACTGTATCCATAGTCACTTCATCTTCATCACTGAGAGGCTACATAACCATCCTGGCAGGAGCAAGGGTGAGACAATTCCAGGGAGAGACAGTTTTGTCTCCTCCATTAGCTATCAGATTGCTGAGACATTGCCCCCAAATTTGGAATTTCCATAGGAATCTCATACTGGGAGAAGGACAGAGCTCAAGCCCAGTGCCAGCCAGAAGAGGAACTTGTCTCGAGGAAAGAGAGTCCACAGAGTTCTGCCGAGCTGTCAGCACTTATTGCAGGGGAGACTGGAACTGAGACAACGGTGGGTCAGGACTCAACCGGAAATGCTTAGTTACTACGCTTAAGCCTTCCATCTAAACCTGAACTTACGCCGGACAAAAACCAGCTGAGGCAGGCAGGAGGTCACCAGAGCTCTGTTAGTCGCTTTCCCCATGTGACAGCATTGAATAGGTCTTCTTCCTCTGATGCTCTCTATCACTGTTGGTTTGCGTGGCCGTTGGGGATTGTTGATTGAGCTTGTTAGGACTGCCAGGGGCCAGGCTTTGACCTCAAGAGCTTCAGGACGATTTCATGGTGTGAGTGACCCTGTTACAACACCTTGTTTACAAGTTCACTGCTAACAGGACATTTTGGTTATTTCCAGCTTTTGATTAACTCCAGAAACATTTCTATGAGCAACTGTATACAAGTTTTGTGTGAACATAACTTTTTATTTTTTGGTATAAATGCCAAAGAGTGTGGCTGTTAGGAAATATAAGTAACTGTATGACCAGTTTGTCAGAAAGTGCCAAGTCATTGTCCACTTCACATTCCTACAGCAGTGCCTGAGGGACCCAGTTTCTCAACATCCTCAGCAGCGTTATCTTTGTTCTGGCTTCCTTCCATAGGTGTACAGAGTGGAAGTCCTCATCAGAACCATTTCTCCATGTGCTTATTTGCATTTGGACTTCATCTTTCTTTGCTTTTGTAATTTTTCAAATAATTTTACAGATAAGTTAGTTCATTGAAAGAAGCGTGATTTTTTTTTAACCCATTTGTGGGTTTTCCTCTCATCATCGTAGTCTTTGTCAAAGCAGTGTTAATTTTGGAGACACTAAATTTTTATTTGTTTCTGTGTTTGTTTTGGTGTTTTCTATGTGATCCAGTCTGGATGGGAACTTACTGTGTAGCCTATGCTGGCTTCTCTGATTCCAGGAGATCTTTCTATCTCTGATTCTTGAGTGGCTTGGACTACAGGCATACCCCACTACTCCCAGTTGCAACATTAAAAGCTCCATTTTCTTTGTGTAAAGTAAATGACTCACACTGGAGTTCCTTCTTCTTGTATAGAATTTCTCGAGCATTATTTTTTGAGAAGACTTGAAAGGAAAGAAGTAAGAAATCCACTATACAGTAGCAACTCACAGGTAGGTTACTTGGCTATACCTAGCAATCAAACAAACATAGGACCTGGTCAGCAAGAGAAAGGACATGAGTGGTGTTAATTTTATGTGCACAAGGAGATCTTTATAAGAGACAAATGTGAAAAAAATAAACAAGCAAAGTGTGGTACTTTTTAGATCAAGAACAATAAACTTGTGAAGAGATGACAGGGCAAATGGACCTCTGAACTGTGGTAGTAAATTCCAGGGAAGTCGTTAGAAGATAGGTGAGAGGGACGTGAAAGACAATGGAGGACAAGGGCCATGTAAAGCACCTATCTATACAGGTTTATTGCTGCCCTTTGGTCATCAAGGCTATTTTTACTCCTGGTGTTAAAAAAGTCAAGGTTTCAGCTTGAAATAATCATTATGCCAGGACCACATAATTGGGACAAGTCACTAACTCCTTCAATAGCTTGTCTTTACTAAATTCTTTTGGTTTATTTATCAAAAATCAGTTAATTATGGCTACATGGAATTAATTCTGAATTTTATATTCTGTTGCATAGGTTAATGTCTATGCTTCCACCAATACCATATAGCCTCAACTACAGTAACTACAAAATAATTCCTGAAATCAGATGGAATGAGTCCTCCATTTTTTTTTCTCTAACTTCGCCTTGCCATATTTATATAGAGTATGGTCTACCTCTGCATTACTTTTCTGTTACTGTGATAAAACACCATGACCAAAGCAACTTACAGAAGAAAGGGTTCATTTGGGTTCATTTGGGTTCACTGTCCCAGAGGGAAAAAAGTGGGTCACTGAAGGAAGGCGTGGCTGCTGGAGCAAGAACCAGGCATGGTGGCTAAAGCAAGAGCTGAGAGCTCACATCTTGACCCAAAGCCCCGTGCTGGTTTCAATAAAACGCCTGTCTCCCATAGACTCATTTATTTGAATGCCTAGTCAGCAAAGAATGGCAGACGTGAGAAAGACTAGGAGGTGTGGAGGCCTGTTGGAGTAGGTGTGGTCTTATGGGAGAAAGTGTGTCACTGCACTTTCAGGGTGTCAAAAGCTCAAGCCAAACCTGGTGGCTTTCTCCTTCCACTGCCCACTGGGGTTCCAGATGTAAGTCCCCAGCTACTTCTCCACTGCCATGTCCACCAGCACGCTGCCCTGCTCCCCGCCATGCTGATGATGGGCTAACCTGCTGAAACCGTAAGCCAGGCCCAATTAAATGCTTTCTTTAGAAGAGTTGCTGTGGTCATAGTGTCTCTTCACAGTGACCAGGATAAATAAGCACAAATCAGAAGAACTGGAAATGGCATGGGTCTTTAAACTTTCCAAGAGGCCTCCAGCAAGGCTGTATCTCCTGAATCTCTCCATCCAGTCCCACCAGCTGGGACCAAGTGCTCACATGCCCAAGACTACGGGTGACATTTCTCTTCCAAACCAGCACAATGTCTACACATGTATGCTGAGATTGTAAGAAGAATCTCCTTCAAAGACAGGAGAAAGGCTGAATGGTTAAGAGCATGTGCCACCCTTGAGAAGGACCTGGGTCCAGTTCCCAGCACTCACATGGAGCTACTCACAGCTTCCTGTAACTCCACTTCCAGTTACCACAGAGCCCTCTCTGGCCTCCAGCGTCACCTTCT